GGGGCCCTAGCGGCTGACGTGGCGCGAGAGGCCGGGGCGGTGCGGAGGGGGCGGTCCCGGGAGAGAGCCGGGAGCAGGCCGCCCCTCCCCCTCCCCCCCCCCCCGCATCAAACTTGCTGCGCCGGCCGGAGGCAGCGGCCTGCGGGAGCGGCCGGGACCGCGTGGGCCACGTGTGGCGGCCTCGGGCAACCCGGGTCCAGCCGCGGACACGGAGACGTAGGATTCCGTTCACTCCCCGCAGGGCACATCCTCAGCATGAGAGTTTAGTTGAAAAATAGGAACTCACAAAGGTGCGATATCTCACTTTGTGTGTTCATGGGTTAGGGGTGACCCAGGCAGAAGAAGGCGCCTGTGCTCGCTCGAGAAGCTAGAGTAGTGCGATAATGGGGACGTCTCCGCAGCTTGGAGTGGATGGTGAGCTGTGCTTTCGGTGGCAGGATCCCACTGGCCCTCACCTCACGGCTGACCTCCGGCATCTCCTCCCCTCCGATCCGTTGAGGCTTGCTCATCTGGAAATTGAGGTGGCAGAAGCCGCTACATTGAACAGACGTACTTCCTGCCGTGGTTCTGGGGTGGGGGCATCGGTATGTGCCTCCCGTCCAACTCCAGAGATCCCTGCCCTGAGAGAGAATTGCCCTAGTGAAGGACTTCCTGCCGTTCACGCGAGCTCAGGTAGTGCTTTCCTTCCAGGGCCTAGCTACCCCCAATGAAGGGATATTCTCATGGGACAGCAGCAAGCTAGTGTTAGGGCACAAGGCAGTTTACAGGCTTATTGCAGAATTTGGCCTCCTTCCCTGGTGCAGGGGAGAGGCTCATTGAGATGTGGGGAAAGGCATATAGGAAGGAATAGAGAGAAGATGCCTAAGAAAACGACCTATTCAGAAAATGTGCTGACGGACGTTGGAGGAAACTTCTCTCTTTCTCCCCATGTTCCTACTATTACTGTATTTCAGTTCATTTGGAGTTACATTAATTTTGGGGGAGCTATTCTGGGTCACAGCTATCATGTATTAACAATGTATGGGATACATTATGTTTCAAGTTCCTGAGAACCAACTGACTTGAATTTTTAGAACCACCAGTGGTATAGAAAATACTTTGTAGTGTAAAATAATTATTCAATATTAATAGTTACTCAGGGAAGGAGTATTCTCAGAGTAACTATTCAATAGTGTTTAAATATATTACTTAATTGGAGCCTATTCCAGTGGAATAAATCTGTTTGTGGATTTTCTTTTTTCTTTTTCTTTTTTAAAGAAAAACTGACATGTAGACGTAGTAAGTCCATGCAGTTTTAATTTTGGAGTCTCCGTACTGCTCACCAGCTGGATCTAGACTGAGGGAGGGAGCAGGCTGACAAATTTGAGCCCTTGGCATTAAGTTAATTCCTTTTTCATTGTATGTGGCTTATCGACTTTTGGGTGGATGCTTCCAGGAAAAGTAACTTTTAAAGTTTTTATTTGTTTGCTTCTGAACAGTCTACTACAAAATATTTAAATAGAGATGTGTGGGTTTCTATGATGGCATTTAAAAGTTAGACTTTCACAGCAGATTGGAACTCAGAATGTGCTGTGGGTTGCCCCCTCCCCTGTCTCTCTCCAGTCTCTCTGGAATATTGGAAGCCCCACATGTGATTTGGGGCCAGGGCTATCATGTAACGAAAACATTGATCTGTGTATCTCTGCTCGGAACTTGGCATATGTGGGGGTGTCCTACTGCTGTAGATTTTGTGCCAACATCTTCTCTGTGGACAGTTTGCAGGTTCCACTGAACTTGGTGGTGACAATGAGGTCAAGGTTGGGGCCGCCTCCTTGGGAGGACCAGGTAGCTTTGCTCAGTAGAGCAAAAGCTCCCCATGGCCACAGGCTGCCTTCTGAATGCAGCTGCTGTCTCAGAGGTTTGTGCGGTAGCCATAAGGGTCCCAAACCAGAAGTGCCGATGACGTGGAACCTATGGATCCATCACTGAGAAGTTGCCAAACACTCAGTACATGCCAAGCATGTGCTAGATACTGGGAACACAGTTGTGAAAAGGACAGTGCTGTGTTCTTGGCCCTTGTACCACATATACTTAAATATAACACTGGTGTGCTCTCACAGTTACGTTTCAGAGAAGAGAGAATCATGTTGCACTTGATGGAGCCTCTTAGAAAGCAGGGATTCTCTTGGCTGGCCAAGAAAGTGCTGCTTAGGGAAGACATATTTGCTGGAGGCAGACTTTCAGTGCTACCTTTAGATGCTTATTATTGATGTCATCTGTCAGGAAAAAAAAAGAGGCAAAGAGATTTCATTGAGAAATTATTTTTAAGATGAACTCACAATTATAAGTGTGGGGTGTTCTTATAAGCAACGTGTTAAAGGTCACTTTACAAAGTAATATAGCAAGTAGTTACATTGTAGACATCATGGATACACACTTAGCAGGTGAATGAGGGAAAAAAAAAACAGAAACAAAATGCCTGTGCCATAATATGTGACTGTACTTGAAGCTTGAGATAAAGTTTCCAGTATTGGCTCTTACAGAATTCAAATATGGCACTGCACACAGCTGACAGTTAAAGACGATGATCAGCTATGAGGCTCAGAAAGTAGCTTTAGTTGATGGGAAACATGCTGACGCTGTCAAGAAATGTGAGAAGTAGCAAGAAGCAATAATTTTAAGTTAACATACCATTTTAAATAATAGGTGACTTAAAAATATCTGTGTGTAGTTAAATTCATACGATGGATATTATAAGTATACATTTGATGATCTCAAATGTAGAAGTTTGAGTGGCCACAAACTTTTTTTAAGCTTCTCATTGGAGAAAATGCAGAATTGATTTAATTTTGAGGTTGCCTTGCATTTGCAGACACTCGTTTATATGTTAGAAGAGACCAGACTAAATAATAAAGGAGCAGTTATATAGCAAGAAGTGCTAAGCTGCTGCAGTAGAGGGGGAGCAAGTTTGCTTTCCAGAAAAGACAAGAATGGGCACCAAACAGCTGGGGGAGTCAGGGCTGACTCCTTGGAGGAAGTGACACCCAAAGTAAACGTGAAGGGCAATAGGAGTTAGCCAGGTGAGTTTACAGAAGAAGTGTCAGAGAGAGTATGTACTGATTCCCAGGGCAAGCCAAGCTATGGCCCTTTCAGAAAACTACAAATACTGCAGTGTAGCTCACAGGTAGACTGCAAGGGAAGGAGGGCAGCTGGGGCATAGAGGTCAGGTGGGAGGTCAGCAGGGGCCAGATTGCGGAGGATCTGGCACAATACGTTGCTTGCTACCACAACGTTTGGATTTCATGTTGAGAACCATGCAGGGGCTTTCTGGAGTGTTGTAAGCAGGGGAGTGAGATTCTGTAATAATTGTGAGCTAATCCATCTCTGCTGTGGTGTAAAGAAAGAATCAGAGAGCCCCACAGCCCTGTGGAAATGGCTGAAGAGGTGGGTCAGGCCCCCTTTGCCCCGGCACTCACTATGCTTGTTCCTCTCACCTTGTTACAGGTGTGGGCACTGCCAACGGCTGCAGCCTACTTGGAACGACCTGGGAGACAAGTACAACAGCATGGAAGATGCCAAAGTCTACGTGGCTAAAGTGGACTGCACAGCCGACTCCGATGTGTGCTCTGCCCAGGGGGTGCGAGGATACCCCACGTAAGTGGGAAAGGCACGTGCCTCCCATGTCCTCCAGGTTTCCCTTGTCTTTGGGCCAGTTGCACTTGGCCCGAGAAAGTCCAAGTTACACTTGAGGTAACTTGCTTTATAGCTCAGAAGAGTGAGGAGTTCCTAAATGTAAGCGGCAGTCCCTGTTGTTAGGAAAAGGTAATACTTAACGCTACTAGATGTCTTTTCCTACCTTGTATAGAAAAACCCTTTAATTAATCAATCAGTATGGGGTTTTCCTGTTTACAAGAGCATGTGTTTACAGGACAAAAATGGCAGTCTTCATGAGGTCCTGTCAGGCTTTATTTTCCCAAGTACATTAGTACAATGAGCACAGACTTAGTCATCAATTTTAGCATGAATAATTTTTGGTCACTTTGTTATTCCTAACCATCCTCCCTCGAGTAATTTCCATGTGACTTGTACATGGCTGTTTCTGTTGGACAGAAAGGTAACAAAATGGAGTACAGCAGCTCTGACAAGTAGTCCTATTTACTCCCTTGACAGTTAAAAGAGTTTTGATTTTAAGAAATTTAAACTGGCTTAATAAACAAAAGAGGGGGCTAATTAGTAGGCTGTGGGAAAAGCTCTGAGACTCAGCTCCAAGGGTTTGGGGGTCTGTTTTTACTGAGTCTCCCTTAAGGGAGACTTAGCTTCCTGGCTCTGCAGCTCTCTGTTGCCGTGGTGGACTTGGGCTCCCCACCAACTGGCCCAGCTTGGATGGGCATTCATTCCAGGAACAGTCCTGTGGTCAGAGAGGCAGGGTCTTGTAGGAAGACAGCAGCCCCATTCAGACCACATGGCAAGTGCTGGAGTGAAGAACGCTTCTCCTAAAAAGGGAAGATGCTGTTTCCAGAAGGATGGGAGAGGGGTCGGTCACTGCTGTGCCTGAAATACTTGTCAGATTGATGAACTAAGTAAATTCTATATAAAACCTGAGCTTATCTTCAAACCTGAGAGTCAACATGGAAAAGTGGAAGGAACTCTGGGCTGGAACCTGGAAGCCAGAATGTGCACCCCAGCTCTACCATCTACTTATCATGCAGCTCTGGCCACACTATTTAACCTCTAAGTCTAAAGTAGGATGCTGATACCTACTCCACCTCCCATAACATTGTTATATGAAATACCAGTGCAAACGCCGATCTGAGCATACCCAGTTAATGTTAGGTTTCTCCTAACATTTGGAAATTTGGCATTTCCATAAAGGACTCTGGAACTCTTCGTCTTTGGTGAATGCTTGCCAATCCAAGTGTCATAATTGAAGTCTACATCAAGTCAGGTCAATAGAGATAATATTTCCCACTACATGTACCTACCTAAAAGGCATCGCTGTCTATGCTTCGTAGCATTGCTTTTAAAGTAAACTCCACTTGGAGGGAGACTGTCCCAAAGAAGCCGCCAGGGAGTGGTTGGAACAGAGGAGGAGATGGGTGCTTACCTGTTGAGAGCCTATTACTTTAAGGTACAGGGGTAACAGAGATAGTTGGGTGGTTGGCTGTGGTGTCCACTCTGAAACAGCTGGCCATCTGCGGCCACGTGGCCGTTTACAGCACAAATCATGCCACAGAGAAGGCGAAACAACGGGAACTGTAGTGGGACTAAGAGGGCAGATGTTAGGGGGCAACAGAGGAAAGTCGAGGATTCCACCTGGACCTGGTCAGACGAGCTATCTGGTTGCAACCCCATAGATGCTACTCATAGATGTTAAAAGATCCGTGTCTTGATTTTTATTTAGAAGATACGGTCTCCCCAAGAAAATCATACACTGGTTTTATGTTGTAAAAACAACCACTGAACGTGGTGTGGGGAGGAACCTCCATGACCATGACAGCCCTGCACAAGCCCAATCAGAGGTTATTTTCATTGAATTCAGGAAGCAGAATGTGCTGCATACAATGTAGTCACGTTAGGGCATTCATAGAGTTACCTATGTGAGATTTTACTCCCTCTAAAACAGTACCCGTCTTACAGAGACGTTGCAAGGCCTGAGTCAGATAATGAACATAAAAGTGCCTGAGCACAGGGTGTGTGTCAGTATGTCTGCTTTTATGTCATTCTTCCTCAGGAGAGGATTGGAGAGGGAGAGCATTGGGGTTCCCATGACCCTAGAGATGGCTGACTGTGCTCAGGAAAATATTTTAGGTTTTCCTGTTGAGCCAGAAAATGATCTTGATCATCTGGGAATGCGTGAGCAGGGGCAGGGCTGAAGGAGCTTTCCTAGGGCTGCCGTAACAAAGTGCCACAAAGCGGCTGGCTGACAAGAACAGAAATTTATTCTTATAGTTATGGTGGCCAGAAGCCCAAAATCAAGGCATCAGCAGGGCTATGCTGTCTGAAACCTGTTGAGGAATCCTTCCTTGCCTTTTCCCAGCTTTCTGCGGTTTGCTGGCAATCTTTGACTTATAGATGGTTACTCCAGTCCTCCATCTTCATGTGGCCTTCTCCCTGTGTTCGTGCCTGTCTCCATGTCCGAATTTCCCCTTTCTGTAAGAACATCAGTCATATTGACTACAAGGGTCTACTCTATGAACCTCATTTTAACTTGCTTATCTCTATAAAGATCCTATTGCTAAACAAGGTTACATTCTCAGGTACTTTGGGTTAGGACTTCAACAGATCTGTTTTGGGGGACACAGTTCAACCCATAACATCATCTCATCTATTATAGTAGAACTTTTGTCACACTGTTTTCCAGAGTGACCCATAAGTCGGGGTTTTCTCCCCTGCAGTCTCCTTGAGAAAGAAATGGATCACTCAGAAAACCCAAATGCCCATGTGGAAGTTTGGTAATAGCAGGAACATTTGGAGCTGTACTTTCGGTTTGTATCTCGTGGCCTTTATCACCTTCATCTCCATCTACAGTGAGAATTGAAGTCAGACAGAAAAGTCTGTAAAGGAAGCTCTGATTCTATCCGTAGGCTCTTTGAACTTAAGGAAGAATCTCAGACTTAAGCAGGTGGAAAGATTTTCAAGCCAATAGGAAGAGATTTTTAAAAAATCGTTTATTTTTGTTTTGCTCAAAGCACACCAAATTAGAAAAAAATATCCCATGTTAGATTTTATTGATTTTTAAAGTTAGCGAAGAAATGGGGAATGAGTTTGACAATGCATTGTCCTTTCTGATATTTTGAGGATCCACTTATTTTCTGTCCTGAAGCTCTTTGGGGGAGGGAGGCACTTGAGAGAGCAAAGGGAAGTAGAAAAGCACCTTCTAGTTCTCTGAGCAAAGCACACATTTCCAGAGCTTCCGGGGGCAGGGTGCAGGCATTCATAACGTGAGATCACACTTTGGAGTTGCTTAAAATGTGAAACTTCATGACATTACAGGTGCACTGGCCAAATCTAGTTAGATTTTGGCTTTGTGTTACGGTTATAAAAGTACGAGCTACTGAGGAAGCGTGGCATATGCGTGTATTCTGTATTGGAGGCACATAGGGACATCGCCTAAGGCCATCACAGGATTTTAGCTTCTGGGTGAGGCCAGTAAGCCCATTTTAATTTAAATATCTGCTCCAGCTAATGTGTTGGTTTTCTCATATAGCCATGAAACGTCATTTTAAGGCATTGGGAGACTTATCTTTTCAAACCCACAGTTCTGATTTCTGCATATCTTGACTTCTTACACACTGACACTGCACATTGGGCTTCTACTAAGAAACTCCAGGTACATGCTGTAGAAGTATTAGGGGTATTTTAGACAAGTAGGCTTGCCAAAGAAAAGCTTGTGTGTGTTTCTTCTTTTTCTGTCAATAGCTGCACTTCCCCCATCCATCCTTGACACCTTCTGTTCTATCAATAGAAGAATTAATCCCCCCATGTCCATCCTTGACACCTTCTATTAAATTTTATCACTAGCATGTTTTTCCATTACCAGTGGAATGATACAGGATCTGGAAGCATTACTTTCAGCCTCTGGGTACATCTTTTGCTCACCTTTAAAGGAATGCTCTGTGTTCTATCTTCAGAGGCTAATATATGTAGAAAAAAGAAGAGATTCCTTCTTAGTAGGGAAGTGAATAGACTGTATCAACCAATGTCAAGGTCATTATTATAGTTGGAGACTTGAATCTCACACTACCTAGATGTTCATGCGTTGTAAGAGTCCAGTAGCTGACATGGTAGACTGAAAATACATTTATTGCAAAACAATGCTATTTCTACTACAGCTCTAATTTTAATAAAAGAAGAACATAAGAACTACTGAAGCCTGGGAAGGATACTAACAGGGAAAAGCTTGCGAGTTCTACACAACTGAACACTTGTAGCTTGGGGTTTAGGTCACAGTGTTAGGCTTGATGTATTCACCTCAGCTTTATTTTTTTTTTGAATAAAATATGACATTTTTCAGTTTAGGACTAAGTGAATACGTTATCTCCTAGAATATTATTTTTCTTTCTTTTTCAAGTTTTATCAGAGAGTGGCAGATAGGTGCCTGGCTGTAGCCCACTGATAACTAATTTTCTGATTGCTTCACTAAATGAGTTTGCTCCTTGATAAGACAGTACTCTCTACTCAGAGCTGTTTGAAGGGCTTTAAAAATGTGCTCTGTCTAATCCTTTGTTACCCTTTCAGCTTGAAGTTTTTCAAGCCTGGCCAGGAAGCTGTGAAGTACCAAGGTCCCCGGGACTTCCAGGCCCTGGAAAACTGGATGCTACAGACGCTGAACGAGGAACCTGCCGTGAGTGCACAGAGGGCCGTCCTCCCTCTCTTCCTTCTGACGTTTTTGGGTAACAGAGAGGCCAGTTAAGGGGAACGTTAAGGCTGCCATTTTAAGGCTGCTTTTTATTTTTTTAGAACTCATTGATAACGTAAGTAAAGATTAACTTTTTTTTTCTTCTCAGTTTTTTATTGTGGTAAAATAACATAAAATTTACCGTCTTCACCATTTTTAAGTGTACAATTCAGTGGCGTTAAATACATTCATAATGTTGTACAACCATCACCACCATCCATTTCCAGAACTCTTTTCATCTCTAAAGCTGAAACTCTGTCCCATTAAATACTAACTCCCCCCTCCCTCTGTCCCCGGCCCCTCCCCCACCCCTGGCAATCACCGTTCTACTTTTCCGTGTCAATGAATTTAGCTACTCTAAGTACCTTATGTACGTGGAGAAGGTTAACTTTTTAAAAACTTTTTATTATGGAAATATTCAAACATACACAAAAGTAGAAGAGTCTAATGTTTGATGTATAAGCGATGAGAAGGAGTATCATGTAGATGGTGCCTTCAACAATTATCCCCATTTGCCAACTTTGATTTGTCTTACCTGCCTCCCTATCCTTGTTAGGCTACTGTCAGTGCTTATGGCATGTCATTTGTAAATATTAGAGTATACATCTCACAGATAAGCACGTGGTACTTTTTAACATAACCTCTGTGCCACTCTCATGTGGAATATAATTAATAATAATTCCTTAGCATTAGAGATTGACTTTCGGCCACCTGGGGTCAGGGCCAGGCCTTGGACAGAATTTGCAGCCCGGGCCAGCTTTGGCCCTTCCCGCCTCTCCCAGCTACCAGCTCTCTCTTGTTCCCACTCACTGTACCCACCATGTGAGTCTCTCCTTTTCTTCTCATCCCTCAGTCCCTAACATCCTAACTGGCTTTGCTGATAACATAATACTCTTAACATTTTAGTGTCTTAATGTTCCTCCCTATACTAAGGCTACTATCAGGAAATTGTGGAAACTGTGATTTCTGAGATATTTTTAAAAACATAGCTATGTATAGAATGTTACTAAGAAAAATTTATAATCCTCTCCCTCCCCATTTGATGTTAGGCGTATTTTCTTATAAATCATTACAATCGATCGTAAACCATTCATTAAGTGTCTCTTGATGTGTGGTGCTTTTGGATGAATGCTGAGTACTCAGTCCCACAGAGGCTCAGTTGGACTTTGAAGGTCTGTAGTGTCACAGTGGTGAGGGACCGGAGATGGCCAGTGTTCCCATGCTCTATGTTTCTGATGAAGTAGTAAGAGCATTTGAAGTCTGAATGCAATTTCAATTTAAACACTAAGGCTACTTTCTTGTATCAGGTAGGTGTTCCCAGATTTGAAGTTTCTTTGTGAATGACTGCAATCCCAGTGGTCTTTTAGGGGCTCAGCTGCTATTAGTGTCATTTTCCAGGGTGTCTGTGTGACAGCTCTCCCTCTAGGTGTCACAGCTGATCAGAAACCCAGCTGCTTTCTAAGTGCTACTGGTACCTCACATTTTAAAGTCTATAAGGTCATGGTGAAGAATGTTGGAATATGGCGTTGAATAAGCATTGACCAGAGACTTCTCTAATTTTAGATAACGGAAAGGCACAAACCTCTCAGTAAATTTGCATCTCTGTCATGGCAAGAGAGCTGGAGGAGCAGGTGTAACTTTCATATAAATTTAAACTTCAAATTGTTTCCTTTGTGAAAGTGTTCTCTGATGGGAAGAAGCTGATTTTAAAGAGGCGTTAATAGCCTTAAAAAACTTTTAAAATAAACTTTCCACCAAAAAAGCCAGTCTTCTATGAAGACTTTATTCAAGAAACCAGCAGCCACTATTAGGATGGCCAAGAAACTGCATCTCGTGGGCCAGCTTCTCTTTAGGGAAGTGACAGCCCGAAGTGCAGGCTGGGAAGGACTGTGAGGCCAGGCCCAGGCTCAGCGCAGATGTCCTGAAGGACAGTGTCCTGTCCTTTACCACCTGAGAACTAGTTATCCACCAGCCACATCTTAGTGTCTCAGAGCAAAAGGTCTCGGATAATTGCTAGAAACAGTGACGATGTGCCTTACTGTAGAAAAGTTCAAATATTCAGACTTTATATTGTGAACTGAAAATTCTTTTCAATTTGAACTTTGGTGTCTACTGTAAGCAGAAGCGTTTTTAGAAAGTTCTTCATCTGTATTTATGCTTAAGTAACTTGATATATACATATTTATATTTAGACAGAATAAATTTAGATTTTTCTCCCTAGCGTTATGACAATATTAAAGAAACTCAAAGAAAAGAAAACCTACCATTTCTTACATTCTACCCCAATTTTTATCTATGTTCGCATCTGTATTTTTTCTTAAACAGTTGTAATCATATAAACATAGTTCAATTCATTAATGATCTTTTTATATAGTTATATTGTTTCATATTGATATTTTATACCGGCACGTGTATTTGCTATAATTCAGCGCTTCTCTGTCAATGGATATTTAATTGTTTATAATTATTCCGTCATCAGAAGTGCTATAAGGAACATGTTTATCTTTGTAAAGGACATTTTTACTACTTTTGAGTGATGTTTTTAGAATATATTCCTAGACATAAAATTGCGAGGCAAAAAAAGAAAAAGAAGAAACGAGACCACTTTTATGGCTCTTGAGTGTACTGTCAGACTGCTTTCTTAAGAATCTAGAGTGTACCCCTTTCTATGATATACTGTGGTTTTCCCGTGATGGTGGGGACCGCTCTGATATCTGCCATAGAACACAGGAAGTGAGTGTCTCCTATGTGCCATAAATGACCATTCTAATACTGAAAGCCCTTGGAATATCTTATAACACATACGGTGTTTTGTTTCACCTTACTGGAACTCATTGACCACTCACTTAGCTGACATTCTCTTGGGCATCCTTTTGTGGGGTTGCTTTGTACTTTGAAAGTTTTGACAAGCCAGCAACAGAAAGGAAAAGTTCATGGTGCTTTATGCTTATAACTCTACAGCTTGAGCTCTCAGCACTTTTAAAGCTTTTAATGACTTAGCTTGGATATTCTTCTTAATAGAAATATGAACTGCCAGATAATACCCATGAGCAATACCCATGTGTCTATCAGAAAATGGTAATTCAGTGATCTTTTCTTCACCCCAGCTGTACTGGCCTCAAAAATTGAGAAATTTAGAATTGCGAAGTAACTATAGAGTTGTCTACATTGTTGTCCGCTCGGCCACTTCTTGTCCCTTCATCGTGTGTTTCTGTCCCAAACTTAGTCATGTGAGTTATGCTCTTTCATCACCTACTTTTCTCTTTTATCAGTCCTTCCAAGTTTTACCTTCCTTCACAGTTTGTGGATTTTTTTGTTTTTCCTTTTTACCATTCGTGGAAATAAAGGATGCCAGGCCCCCCTGTTCTCTCTGGTGGTTTCTTGTTCCCAGTGTACATTTTGCTACCTCTGTGCCTTTCCGTACTCCTTCCCGCAGAGCTAATCCATTAGGAATTTCAGTTTGTATTGTGTGTGAAATCTCAGAACGGGACCAAGTGCTAGTTTGGGGTGGACCTATCCTTCAGTTGGTCTGCTCTGGTTGGGTTTTGGGACAGCAAAGGACAGGTTGAAGTGGGGATGGCTGTCACCTGCTTTCCTCAAATGTCAGTCCTAGAACATTTGCTGAGGGGGAGGCTGGCGAAGTGCGTCTTAGGAAGCATTCAGAACACCATACAGAGTTGATTCCTGCCCTAGTCCTTCCTCAGCACACCAGCGTCCTACACAGGTTCGAGGTAGCCAGGGGAGGAAGGTTCTGGAGAAGGTTCTAGACAGACACAGGTCACCTCCTTGACAGGTTTTACTGTATCTGCACAGACAAACTCAGCGCCTGTTCTTTTTGTTTCTTCCTGTTAGACACCAGAGCCGGAAGCAGAACCGCCCAGAGCCCCTGAGCACAAGCAGGGGCTGTATGAGCTTTCAGCGAGCAACTTTGAGCTGCACGTCGCACAAGGTATGGCCATCACAGCGGTGTACACATCGTTCGTTACTCCTGGATTTGCTGGGCTTGTCCTTGCCAGCTGAGGGCTCATAGATAGCAGGATCTGTGGCACCGATTGTCAAGGGTTTCTCTCTTTAAGACCTGTTAGCATCACCATTTAATGCTCCTCCTCTTGGAAATTATTCTTCCTTTTGTCTCTCTCCTTATAGAAATGCTGGTTTTGATGCTAAGTTAAAGCTTTAGGTGTGAAAATTTGGAGCTCATAAATCACGAATGGGCACACTTAATTTGTACACTAGCTATACAGTGCATCCCTTGGATAAGAAAATGTTTGTGTATATTAATGCTCATCATATGCTATTGACCTGAGGCAGAAACAAAAGTTTTTCTTATCTGTTTAAACTAGAATTTAGTGGGACTATTAAAAGAACTACAGTACATGTTCTTTACACTTAAAATGTATTTTTAGACCACATCTCATCTTTTGAAAATGGTCTCCAAAATATCAAAATGTTCTATGTACAGTTTCCAATGTTAATAATATAAGTCCTCCTTTCTTCACACATTTCAGAAGAGTTGGCTCAGCAGTGAATGACTTGAAAGCAAATTCAGCTTCCTTGCTGACCCGTTCTCAAATGCTACCATGGAGAGAAATCCTCCCATAAGACTGGTTGGAAATGTTGTGAAAAGGGGCTTAACGTTGTATCTGGCTTTGTAACTTCATGCCTGCTGGGAGTTGAAACCCCACCCCTCTCAATGTCCAAATAAGGCTTTCTGTACCACACTTAAACGGTCTAAATTTGTGATGCCTTCAACTGTTTTCATTAAAGGTGGTTATTTAATTTGTACCAGTGCTGTGACAGTGGGACTTCAAGGGGATGTCCCCTGCAAGGGATTCACTTTAACTTGAGACTGGCTTGGGCTCCCTGCAGGATGTGCTACCGAAATCACCTTGTTATAGACCATTCCCCACAGACAGGCCCAGCCTGGTCCCTTCCTAAACCAGTCACCCCTGAAGGGCAGTATTCTGGAGATGCTGCCTGTGACGCTCGCATCAGAAAGTGGCTTCCTGCTTTACAGTGTCCCCTTGATACTCTGATCGGCTCCTGGACATCCTGTATGTGCCTCACCACACACGGTTAGCCACAAAGCTGTCTGGAGAGACATACTGTCAGCCTTGCAGATCAGTGGCTAATCTTTTGAAGCAAGTTTTTCGACATTTCCTTTAAACGCGTCATTGCCGTGGTGCTGAGGCTCCGCTGTGAGCATTGGCTTGGCAACGTTCTGCTCTGAGCCCGAGTCCCATTTTGGCGTTCTTTGGTTAGTTCTCTCCCTGGCCACAGCCCGTTTTCAGCTTGGTCTCAGCCTGACATCTTTGAGGCCCCAGGCTGGTCAAGGTAGAGCAGCCTAGAAAAAAATCTTTCAAGTCCAAATAATGATATTTGAAGGTTTGGGTTTTTTCCTCCTAGACAAAGGAGTAATATCCAGTTTTTTAAACCTTTTATTTTATTGTGAAATAAAACACCGATACAGAAAGCAAACGTATTGCTCAGTGAATCGTTAAAAAGCAGTCACCCTGTAACCATTGTCCAGTTCAAGGAAAAAAACTGCCAGCATCCCCATATCCTATCCCAGTCACAGCCCCCTGAGGGGGCGCTGTCCTGACTTTTATGGAAACCACTCCTTGCTTTTCTTTATGGTTTAACCACTCAAGTGTGAGTTCCTACACAGTGTAGTTTAGTTTGGCCTTTTTTTAGTCTCTCTCTCTTAAGTCTGTTTTATCTACATGTACCCCCAGCATCTCTCTTCCTCACATTCTGTTTGCTGAGCACGCAGGTGGTTTGACCTGCAGTTGCCCAGTGTGGACTTCGCTGGGTATATCCCCCTGGTGTGGTTTCACATGTCCCTGGTTTTTCTCTTTCCTGTGAACTGAACTTGGCTTGAGAGACATTATCGGTTTCTGTTGGATGTTTTTGGGTGGTTTGGGCAAGACTTCATAGCTGTTGAAGTCTCCTTGTGATGCCAGCAGCCACAGCAGTCACTGCCTAGATCCGCGAATTCATTTGGGATGCCAAATGCTGCTATTCTAATTCAAGCATTTTTTCATCAAGAGTAGTTTGCCCTTGTTTCTCACTTGGTTATCCAATAGTACAGTTCATATGGGAAAGACAGGATAAATGCCTGATTCTTTCCCTTTGTTGCCAGTTTTCCAAATAATGAGTTGGTTCCCTGTTGTCCTCCAAAGATGACACATTGCTTATTATTTTGAGGGTCGTTATGAACTCACGGACATTGACATTTTTGATGGAGAGTCACTGACCAGTAAAAGGGTTCATACTGAAAAGTGAGCTTTGCAAGAAGACAAAAATCGATGCTTCCGTTCGCTCTAGTCAGGTGTGATGTCAATTATGCTCCCTTTCCCCCTTGTCTACCTTGGCTTTCCACGGAAGGCGACCACTTTATCAAGTTCTTCGCTCCATGGTGTGGTCACTGCAAAGCTCTGGCTCCGACCTGGGAGCAGCTGGCTCTGGGCCTTGAACATTCCGGAACTGTCAAGATTGGCAAGGTAAGCGAAAGCCCTTATTAAACTGGAAATAGACTGCCTTTGGCTGGATTAATTAGCAGTGTAGCCCATTATTCATTCTGTGAGCAAAGTTGCAAACTTGATTTATTATTTCCATTTAGTGTGCCACTTGATAATTCATTTCACCTTCACAGATGGCAACCTGGTTTCAAGTGTGCTGGCTTTTCCACAGCCTAGAGATAAATTATGGCTTTGGCTCCTTGGTTTATTTTGAAGCAATGGCCAATTTTGAATTGGCAGCCCCTGAGCCCTTTCTGCAAAGATAGGAGGCAGAGGCTTAAGAGAGCGTTCACTGGACGTGCTTGGAGATCATCCACATTTGCTCTCACCCAGGAGCTCTTTCCTGAAGGACCCCTGGCTCCGTGCTCACACAGGCATGCAGAAGACCCTCCCCTGGTGAGCCCCCGCTCGCCCTGCTGCCTGGAATTCTTTCTAGCTTTCCCCACCTTATGTAGAGAAGCTAGAAGTGATGTCTGACAACTCCATTGTAACTGGATTTTCTGGAAATATCCAGAGCAGCTTTTGGGCCATCAAACACTTTTAATCTCATTCATCCTCTGGAACCCACCGGACATCCCTGCATTGGACTTCCTTTCATAAATATCTAATTTTCTACTTTGCCAGGGGGCTGATTTGTATACAGAGTAATGTGATGTGTCCAGGAACTCTAGTTAATAAGACGATTTGCCCAGCACGGTGAAATAGTCAAAAGCATAAATTTGAGAGTCAGATAGACCTGGCTGGCCAGCCCAGGGCCACTTCTCCACACCTCATTCTCCCCCTTTGTGAAACTGAGACAAGATCTAACTGTGGTGGTCAGAGGATAAAATGCTTAGCCTGGAGCTTGGCAGAGAGCAAATGGCTAGTACATTGTAATGGTTGTTAAGTGGATTTTTCACTGTTGTCTGCTAAACACTTTCAGTACTGTGTTCTAGTATATGTGTGTTATGGTTGTTAAGATTTTATATTTATTGAACATCTCGTGGAAGTCATCATAAAATAACCTTCTTGTCTTCCCCATTCCTTGTATCCTTACTTTAAGTTATTTTTTGAACTTTGATGGATGATTATTTTTAATTTATGTCAATAGAGGCTTCTAGTAGAACCAGGGATGAGCAGACACAGCCTAAAGAAGTGGGCTATGGCCCTTCATCTCTGGACAGCTCTGTGGCTGGGTTAGACTGGATCCTAAAAATGCCCTGCCCCCAGCCCCAAATCAGTTTGAAGCTTCCTGTGCTTCATTTTAACACTTGAACGGCTCTCTGACTTCAGTCTTACATGTTAGAATAACATTTCATCCTATTTTGTTGACGTAGTGAAAAATAACTTAGTCCCACATAGCTGATTTTAATGCCAATTGAAAAATCACAAAGGAAGCAGCGACTTAGGATCACATGTTTCATGAAAATGTTGAACAAGCAGAGTCTCATAAAGATTTCAGTGAAATAAAAAATCTGAAGCTCCGTGATAGTTGGTAAATTGAGTTTATAGAATTAAGAACATACTCTAATCTTAATTTGACGTCTTTTCAGTTTTCTCTTTATCATATATCAAGTACTCTTATTTAAAATGGACTGCTTGCTCATCCTTGATTTTAAAACTCCCATCAGCTTGAACATTTCTAAGTCAGCATCGTGACTGGTGTGGGTGTCCATCACCCACAGCCAGGCCTGCCTTCTCCAGATGTCAGGCGAGGCTTACCTTTTCCACCTGTTAACCTGCTCAAGGGACAATGTCACTTCTTAAAAATGGGCATGTTAAGTGAGCAAAAAGAAATCATGTGTCTAAAGTAAATCTTGCCAACCTGCTCCCTCATCTTAGGTGTATTTGGGGGTAGCTTTTTGAGGAAAAGTCTCTGCAGAAACTGCAGCCTGCTGGCAGAGATACTACCAGGAGCTTCAGAAATTTTGGTGTTTTTTTAAAAACTACTGAGTGCACAATAGTCCATTTTTATCCAGAAGGCTCACCAAGAAACTGGGAATGTGATCTTTCTTCATAGGTTGACTGTACACAGCATTACGAACTCTGTTCAGGAAACCAGGTTCGTGGCTATCCTACTCTCCTCTGGTTCCGAGATGGTAAAAAGGTACGTCTTCAGGTCTTAGTATTGCGACAAAACATTTCTCTTAACCACAGCGGGCTGAGTTGTCAAGTGGCTTAACAGCTGTGGCGAATTGCCTGTATGGATTGTTTGGGCTCTGGTTTAAAGGAACACATATAATGGAACAAAAATGTCTTTCTCTTAATTGATAAGATTTGGATAGTTGAGAAAAACTGTCAGTTGTTATAATATTTTGAAACCTTTCATTTGGTTCTAGTTGTCACTAGAACAACCCAAATCTACTAGGGTAACTGTTGTGATCACAACCTCCAAGAGAGGTTAATGCTTAGTCTTGGAAAGGTTCTCACTCCTTCCCTTCCAGCCCTGGCCAGTGGTCAGCTTCTCAGAATAGCTGAGTCAGCACCCGGCTTTTGTGACTTGTAGCTCTGCAGAAGGAAGGAGCTGTGAAGTTCTCTCACCAGAGCCAAAACGTTCGGTTTATAATCTCCGCCTTCCCATTTAAATCTGAGCATGCAGACATTGCACAGCTCTCACAACCATCTGGAGACGTCTGATGGGCGGTTTTACGTAGGGGAGTGGGGTGGGGAGATGTGAGTGATTCAGAAAACTTAAGCGTCCTAACTCAGCCTTTCTGTGTGGCCTCTATCTGGACAGACTGATCAGTACAAGGGAAAGCGGGATCTGGACTCGCTGAGAGAGTATGTGGAGTCTCAACTCCAGAGTGCAGAGGAGGGCACCCCGGAGACTGCCCAGGCCTCGGAGGCCCCCATGCTGGCTGCCGAGCCCAAGGCTGACAAGGTGGGTGTCCGCCGCAGCCCACCCACGGAACGCATTCTCCTCAAACGCTTGGCTACAGCTGATTTTTCAGCACAAAGCATTTCCTCCTTGTACATGCTTGGAAGGGGTAGATGTAAGCAAAAGCTTCTCTGAAATGGGGAAATAGGGTGTGCGACAAATCCTGAGAGTTTTGGTGTCAAAATGTCGAAATTCTTCCCTTTGGTTCAGGAAACACCGCACTTCAGGGTATGTGCTATGAAAGCTTGTCCGCTTGTCTCTTGGACCCCCATTTCTGTTCCTTTCCATAATGTGCTGCAATCTTTTTACTTTAACCTGTGGTCGAGACCCCAGAAAGATCTATAGCAGGCAGGATGTGCACATTGGAACTGAAAGGCAAATGGCTGTGGGATATTTAATTTGCTTAGGCAGTCTCTGGCTTACTGAGGTGTCGTCTTCATTCATTCAGTAGTGTAAGGTTTTAGATTCATTTGTTCTGGGATTATCAAGCCCTTGTTATGTTTCAGGCACTGTCCTAGGCCACCAGGAAGCAAAAATGAGACTGTTTTCCTGTCTGTGCAGAGTACTGGGTCCAGTGCGGAGACAGATGAGAATACACGCATGCAGATGTCGCAGGGGCTGTGATAAAGTGTGTGCAGGGCTGGTCACTGTTGCCTAGTGAGGTGGGGGCAGAGAGGCAGGGAGTGTCACTGAGGAGCTGGAAGATGAGGGTGTATTTGCTGGAGACACTGTGGGGAAGCTTGCCTCATGGAGGAAGAGCATGAGCAGCTGCTCTGCGGTGCGAACCAGCCAGGCATATCCGGGGCAGGGCCAGCCGTCGGCGGGAGAGCATGAGGTGACAGGGAGGACAAGGGTGTGGTGCAAGATGCCAGAGAGCAGGAGAGCTGGGTTGTAGAGGACTTTGTCGGCCAGCCAGTGGAGGGTTTCGGGCAGATTTGAATTTTAGAAAGATGACTGGCAGCAGCTTGTATGAAACAGATGGAAAACTGGTGTATTAGGTCATAAAAGATGTTGAGACACCCAAACTAAGTTCTGTGCCCGTGGGGATGGAGAGGAGAAAGCCAGCAAAGGAGTCCAGCTCGGTGGGCTCAGTTAAGATGGTGGGGACTGAGGTGACGCTCAGGGTTTTTGCATATCTGGTGGAGGATGGCAGCAAACATCAGATAAGGGCCAGGGAGGGAGAAGGTGATGAGTTCAGTTTTCAAGATGTGGATTTGTATCTGTGGTGGATATTTAGGTGGAGATGTCCAATGGACAGTTACCTATCAGTCTGGAGCAAAAGCAGGATGTCTGCACTAGATGAGGAGGTTTGTGTGTCTGCGGCTTTAGGTAGAAGACAACGCTGAAGCCATGGGTGAAAATGAGATTTGTATTCACATCAAGTCAAAATAATGTTTTCCCAGGAAAACAATGCTTGGATTTCCTCAGTAAGAACCTTAAGGCCTGTTTGTCCGCAGAATACTTACGTAGCTACTTCAGTTCACACAACTACACTTCATAGCATGCCAGGTTCTCATCTGGGACGTTGGGAAAACAGGGGCAGGCTGCCCTTGTTCCTGGGGGTGAGGGCAGAGAGCCAGGTGTGGCTGAATGCCTCCCAGTCCTTCTCTCACCCAGGAGAAATCATGACTGCTGGAGCCATTGCTCCCTGAGCCCAGTTCTTTAGAATTGGAAGGACCAGCCAATCCACCTATCCCATCCTCCCAGGGTAGGGGAGTAACGGCCTCCTCGCCCCCACAGCCCCTCCCTCAGTGGGACACTAACAGGTTGGGGACCGCCTGGGTGTTAGTTAAAAGTTGAAGTTTTGGTTTAAGGAGTAAACAAATGATCGTGTAGTTGTTATGACCACATATGTTAGAGGAGTGTGTGTGTCATGGTGGTTATGAAGGTCATCCCAAATTGAGTATAATTACATGCTATGGATGTTTTCATCAAACACAGCACGGTTTCTATTTATAATGAAGTTTTCCACCATTAAGCGGGTCTTTCAGTGAGTGTGGCGGCATATTCCTGGACATAAAGAAAGATGGTAGTGTTCTCCAATGGCCCCTCAGCACACAGCACTTCTCAGTCACTGACATCTGTTACCTGATGCCAGACTCAGGTGGAGCAGCCCGGCTACGCTTAGCCACAGGATAAATCATCCCGACGCTTGCTCTCATGAGAGAATCACAGATGCATTTTTGGAGAAGCATATAGACATAATTCTGGAAAGAACTATCAAGATAGAAACACTTTAGAGCATACTGCCTATGGCACCTTTCCCTACATTCTCCAGCCAGAGCTGAGATGAGCAGTGTTTACATTTACTTTGAATTTAAAAATGGAAAGAAGCCTGGTGTATGTAAAATCACATCATTCCCTGTGCTTTTGTGACATCTTGTAAGATCCTTGTGTGACATAGAGAAGGGAATTTTTATGAGTCCATATGTGAGCGTGGTAGAGTCTGAGAGGAGCCACATATGTACAGACGTCAGGAGGGTCAGTAGTGGCTGTTTGGACTCGCCGGCCAGTGTAGGAGGCACCGGCCCTGGGAGGTACAGATGTAAGCGCCGTCCGCCCACAGTGGCTGGTCCACACTACAGAGCCTTGAGGGTCAGCAGCTGCGCCTGAGCCCACCTGGGCTGCCGGGGGGCAGAACACTGGGCTGCGCCCTGCCACCTCCTCACAGCATCCCCCGGGCTCAGCACCCATGGGACCTGTGATGAGTCTCTGCCCTTCAGAGGCCACTGCTCTGCCCTTTTGTGTAGCTTGTGAAATGCAAGTTGTGTAGGTACTTTGTGTGACCTTGGGGCATGCATAACAGCATTTAAAACAATTCATATTTCTGCAGTCCCAAAGCATGGCCCCATCCACTCTGCTCTAAGTGATGTGTTTGAATTGTGGCTTTTCCCTCCCCAGAAGGGCACTGTGTTGGCACTCACAGAAAATAACTTCGATGACACCGTTGCAGAAGGAATAACCTTCATCAAGTTTTATGCTCCATGGTGAGTGGTTCTTTATTTAGAAACTACTTTGTCCCAGTGTGCTTCAGTCCCATCATGTTTTTCAGCTCATTAGCCAATCCTGCGGGCTCAGTGTTGGGCAGATAGTACATTGACACGTAGGTTATATGTAGGAAATAAGGAAACGTTAGTGTTATGCTCACATTCAGATACGTTCAAGTTTGGCGGTATTAATAAACAGTTATTTAGGAGAATGAGGTTAATTTATTTTAAACTTCAGTCTGCTTTGAAGAAGGCAATAATAGCGGAGAATTATGATAGCCATACAAAACTTAAGTTTTGTGGTATCTGTGTCCTTTTCTGAATAGATTGCCTTTTTGGTGAATTAAACCATGAGCATCATGATGGAGCTTTGCTCTCTAGTCTCTTAGATGTTATGGAGAAATCCAGGCGAGCTCAGCTTCGTTAGAGCCCTTCCACATGATACCCAGTTACCTGCACCTCCTGCCACTTGGTCTTCAGGGCCCGAGCAGAGACGGACTGGATGCACGTGGCTTGAGACCAAGGCAACCTGAAGCAGTGGGAAGACGAGAGGGCCCCAGATGTCCTGTGAACTACTGTAACTCGGTGTGCTTTAATTCCTTAGAACTTCAGTTTCCTCAGCTGGAAAATGGAAGAACACTTTGTCTCCACAAGTGAAACAGTCCACATGGGAAAGCAGAGTGCTGAGGACAGTGTTAGATTCTGTATCTGAATGTGAGCAAGGAAGGTTACCACGTGTCATTTTTGCTCTTTAATTTGTTTCATGTCAGATAGTCATGAGAAACTATAATAGCAGAGAAAAAAAGTTAATGAGCACATGACTCATATGAGTTGTGCAGTTTCAGTTCTTAAAGAATAGGAACACTAGTAAATAATGCCTTTAGAACTATTATTTTCTATTTTTTTTAAAAAACCTAAAGCTGTATGGATCAAGTTTGAAGACAGAAAGACCCCTTTTACTGAAGGGGAACAGTTCACGTAGTGGGGAGAGTCAGAAAAAGGACACAGTGCCGGGTGGAGGGGATGGTTTGAATGAAACGTCGTCACGGCCTCGTGCTCACACCAAATCAGTGAGGCTTCAGGGGAGCTGAATTGTTGTTTGGAAATGTTGAGACCATGAACAGTCGGATCTAAAATGTTTCTGGCACTCAAGTGATTTTTTTTTTTAATGTTCGTAGTCTGTTTTGTTTCCTGTTCATGGTGCATTCATGAACCAGTTAGCCCAATTTACCATATCGTGGAAATGGTTTCAAAATCTAAGCCTGTTTTCAGACCCAGCTTGTTTCTATCAGGTTATCCAGAAGTACTTCAGGCTGACTTTGACTTCCTTCTTTGGGATGGGGGAGGAAAAGAAGCAGGAAAAGTCAGTGCCCCCAATGGGAGAATTTGATGTTTTAGAAATTTCTAGGCAATTGTTGACTTCTATACGGAAAAACAAGGCTTGGCTTGGCAGCGAAATGTAGGTGAGTGAGCTCAACCCAAGAGTTCAACAAAGCTGTCATTGTTCTGTTTCTAGGTGTGGTCATTGTAAGAATCTGGCTCCTACTTGGGAAGAACTCTCTACAAAGGAATTCCCTGGTTTGGCAGAGGTCAAGATAGCTGAAGTGGACTGTACTGCTGAACGGAATATTTGCAGCAAGTACTCGGTGCGTACATAGGGATAAAAACATGGGGACTCTTAAGTATCGGGAGCAGATCGCCAGTGAAACTGTAATTTGGTATTATGGACTCAACCAAGATAACCCATGCTTGCCCTCAGCCCCTCAACAAAGCATGTTTTGTGTCCTTTTGAGGTGGTGTGTTTTTTGTTTTGTTTTTCATTTTAAAAAGCAAAAGAGTGCTCTCTCAAAGGAAAGTCTTTGTTCCTCTATCAGTATACACATTTCAATAGAGGTTTTTAGGCCTTGCCATCTGGGTACAAGGCTGGGCAGTCACTGAGAGTCCTGGCTGGAGAATGGGGTGCTACCTGCACAGACGTTCTCATTGACGGAACAGTCAGCTGGCTGTGGCCTTCATCGTAAACGCCTAATGGCTTCCTTTTTAGACAGAAACCAGCGTTCTAAAATATGATAGCTGATTAAAGGAAACATTGGAACATCAGCTTCCTCCTGAGGGGCCAGCCCAACAAGCCAGTCTTGTGCTTGGATTGTTCGCTTAACTCCTGCCTTCTTTTCACACTGTTAGCACCATTGGAGAGCCTATAAGATTTGTAACTTATTTTTTTCCTTTGTGTTATTTTCTTAAAACACTTTTGAGGCCTCTGAAGTTTTATTACCTCATCAGATTGAGAAGAGATGTAGCACAGACATCTTTTACTTACCATTTTTTTGTGTGCCTTAAAATCTTCAAAAGAGGTGAGTTGCAGCTGAAAAATGTATCTCCAGGAGGATCTCGCTACTATTCAATGGGCATCACCAGGGAGCTTGTCAGAAATGCAGAGTCTCAGGCCCCATGCCGACCTGCTGATCTGGAATACGCACCTTCACGAGATCCCCCAGTGGTCATATGCACAGGAAAGACTGAGAAGCTCCACTTCCGGGAAGGGGATCCCTGGGACACTAATCTTGATTGCAGTTTTGCATTGAAAAGTGAATAGTCCCAGGGCCCTGTTTTCTGAACTATGGGGTGGTTTTTTAAATGGTCTGTACATTTTCAAAACTTAACCATAGACTTTCCTGGCCGGAACTGGATTTTTTCTGGTCTTATTTAAGGAACAATTTGTGTGTGATTCAGACCACTGGTTTTCAAATTTTGAATTTTTTCTTTAAAGGTACGTGGCTATCCCACGCTGTTGCTTTTCCGTGGAGGGAAGAAAGTCAGTGAGCACAGCGGAGACAGAAACCTTGAGTCGCTGCACTACTTCGTTCTGCACCAGGCGAAGGATGAGCTGTGAAGACGCAGGTGGAGGCCTCCTGCCCGCTTCCTGGGCCCCACGTGCAGGAACCGAGTCCCGTGGGTATGGCTGAGTGTTCAGGAAGCTGGACATACTGACCTTGTGGTACCTTCTTGGTGTGTGTGTCTTCAGCCAGCACACTCTACAGACTCTTCATTAAATTTCTCTAAGTAAACATGACCCCCTGCAAACAATATTTTCAGTGGCAATCTGTCCCCTTTAACCTTCTCTTGGTGAAGTTTAAATGGTTTCCTTTGAGACTAAAATAGAGTTGAGGAAAATCAAATTGTTGGACTATTTTTGGTTCCTGAGTGTTTCTGGTAAAAGCATCATCCAAAGCATAATTTTTGAACTGCCCACGAGATCTGGAAAGGTGGCCTGTGGCAGTACTGATGTTCCTCTGACCTGAAGGTCACAATTGACTTATTAATAATGTGGTTGATCCGTGGCTTGGAGCAGATTTAAAACCCCGTACCTCTGGAAGATACCTTCATGGCCACTACTGGATTTTCTGTTTCTGTTACTCCTCTCATTGGGAGAGGTCTGCCACAGAAAGCAGTGGGACTTCTGACATGTGCCTGAGTAAGAGAACGCTGATGCCATAATCTTATGTGTGTGTTGATACTTGTCAAATCAGTTATTACTATTAAGAGATATTTCTGTTTCTTTCTCATGGATGAAAGATTTCAGTAGTTTTGTTAACATGAAGTCAGGGTTCATGTGAAGATTTTTAAGATTTAAAATCCATGTTTAAGTCCATGCTGAAGATTTGATATCTCCTGCGGAAAATGTGGGTATGGAAATTTCCACAAGACGTGTCCTGACATTAACTCACAGAAAGATTCTGGTCGTATTTGCCCCCGGGGGCAGGAGGGCTAGATGAGCTTTCCCTGGCGGGTGTCGGTCCGGCAGAACCCTGCAGCCCCACTTCGGGGCCCTAACTGGAAGCGGTTTAGATTCTGCTCCCAGTTACTCCTCTTAGAGGCTCACGGTACATCGTCGGCTTTCGCGGAGGTTGGCCCTCTACTGTATGAAGAGTGGGATTAACCAGACCTAAAGACCAAAGAATGAAGTAGGCAGGGCTGGGTTAGGGCTGCGGGAGGCCACGCCACCATCAGTGCTGGCATCCTTAGAATCCATGCCATCCTGGTGATCAGACCTTTCTGGAAAGAAGCAACCGCAGGACTGGCTTCCTTAAGACAGGTACCTGTATGTGCTCTGTTGTCAAGTTACTTCTTGTAACCCCTGGGTGTCCAGCACTCTTCACCCCCAAATCCATCCCCCACCCCCCACCCCGCCTGTGCTCGGGGGATCTAGTCACTTGGCACAAAGTCACTGGTGGTAAGGACCTTAGAAACAAGACCACTTCTGCTGCCTGCCACAGATGACAACAGAGCAGGATCTCGACCAGCCTCTGCCTTAAAGGAAATCTTTATTAATCATGTATGGTTCACAGATGTTCTTTTAAAAATCCCAACTTTCTAGAGAAGCACAATCCTCATGAGTGGCTTCAGCTTTGCATCATGAGTCTTGTATTGAAAGGAAATCAAAGTGGTACAATTTGTTTACACTATGATACTTTCTAAATAAACTCTTTTTTTAAAAAAAGTCTGGTCTTTCCTTAAATGTTGCAGCAAAACAGATATAAAATAGACAATAAATTATAGTTTATATTTACAAAAAAGCTGTAAGTGCAAACAGTTATAGATCATAAATGCATTATTTAATCAGTTTAGTATGAAATTGGTTTCCTAGTACATGATTGTGAGAAAGATGTTTTAAAAATATTCTAAGATTTAATCTGAGTCTCACTTTCTACAAGAGAAAACTGATTTCAGTTCATAAACAGCATGGCCATCCAAACCCCTTCCTAAGGCCTGGAAGCCCCTTCCTCAGTTTATTTCCTTGGTTGGTTCTCACCCTGTGACATGATATGCTGTATAGTAAACGGGGAAGAACTGTTTTACTGAACTAGATGCAATTAGAGCCAGCGCTCCTAAAGTCAGTGTGCTTTTCAGAGCCATTTCAAAACAAGAGGCGCAGACTTGCTTTCATATGTTACACGGTTACAATGATGGCTATTAAAAATGCTTCTTGTCCCTTGCAGCCCCACCTCCCAATATGTTTGGTCTACTTTTGGTCCTAGCAAAGGAAACAGCAAATGGGGGAGGACTGAGGTGTGGAAATCACATGGTTTGTTTGGACTGAAATCTGTGTTCACACCAACAAAACGCCAGCACAAACATGGAACAGCAATTATTGAGACAAAAGGCACTTCCACATAGCCCTGGTTACGGCCCGGGCTGTTGATCATATATGAAATTGACCTTCCTGGGAATGGAAACTATGAATAGAGGCATTTCCCCCCGATTTCTGCGCTCTGTAAAATCTACCTTCGAGAAACATTACTAAACCAGCTGATACTTGAGCCAAGAATACTTTTACTCCTTTAAGATTATTTTCCGTATTTAGTCACTAACACCACAAACAGCTTGATCTAAAGCGAAAACTAATTCTGGTGGGCTTTGGGGGGGAAAGGGGGAAACCCTTCAAAGTTATGTTTCTGCAGTTACTGGACTTCATACTATAGACATTCAAACAGCTTCCTACAGACCAACAACTCACGTTGTTTACCACGTGGGCAAATCATGAATGAGGTCCTTTAACATCTTCCTTGGATAGTAAGGCACCAACCAATATGAGATGGTTTCAGAGCATCATCTCACGTTCACTGTGCTTCTGTGTGTTTTAAGGCAGATGGAATCTAGGAATCTCCACGGCAGTATTTGTGTCCCCAGCGACTTTTGAGTTAGTGGCATCCACAAGCTCTTACAACCATATTCCTGTATTTTTTTAAGATGACATTGGAATTGTCATCAAAGTAAAGAACCGAGATGGCATTTAGTTTCGTTGGTGCACAGCATGGTTTGGGGACATACTCAGGATTCATAAGGTGAACCTGTTCCAAAACAGAAGGAGGAAAAGCTTCCATTAGAAACTATACCTGCCCTTGGCTTACTCCTACCCATAAAGTGACAAAGATCTCTGAGCGCTCACCAAGGTCTGCACAATCGCGTGGTTTGTCGCATTCATGTGTGCGTTGAGTGGGAAGGAGCATTCTCCGTCACAGTAATTGGCAGCATAGCCCTTGGGTGCGATGATCCAGTCCTTAATTTAAAGCAAAAGGAAGCAGCAAAAAGGTGATGAACACACACTCCTCACACTATCTGTGCTCTCAGTAACCCTGTGAGAAGGATTACTCACATGGACAGGTAAGGAGACAGGTGCAGGAAGGTCAAGTTCATGTTCAAGTGGCAAAGCTAGGGTGTGAACCTGGTCAGTCTGACTCCGGAGCCCTCGCGCCTTCCACAGGCCCACATGGCAGTTAGGTGCTAGCTGCCTGCTGGTTCTGGGAGCACTGGCTTTATGTACTTGGACCCAACGGAGCCTCTCCCTGTTGGCCCAGGGTCCTCCCTGTTATTGTAATGCCACCTGCATATGGAAACTATCTTCTATCACTTGTCATGTATAATTTGCTTCTTATAAACCAGTGGTGGCTCTCAGGTGTGGGGCAAAACATTTGTGCTCTTCTAGTTTGGGTGAGCCAATTTATAGCCATTGGAGAAATTGACTATTGATCCATTTTTCCAACCCTTTCTCAAAACAATTAAAATGTGTTTAAATGTCCAAATACAAATACATGCCTTGTGGACTTCGAAAGAATGAGGGGAGAGTCCTGGGGAAGGTGAGTATTGATTTTGAGGTGCACAGAGCTGGGGAACCCTGGGTTCCCTGGGAAGGTGCCAGTGGGAGCTGTGTGCACGAGAAGGCGGGCCTTCCCCACCTCACTCCAGAGAGCCTGGGCATTTGAAACGGCTCCTAAGTACCTTCACGGGAGGAACCATCTCAATCCTGAAGGGTTTTGATGTTGGCTGTTGGCCATTAAGACGAGACTGAAAAGAAGCTGCGAAACTGTTACTCTCCTGAACATTTGAGATCTTACTCCCTAGAATACGTCTCCAGTTTGGCTCAAACTCATACAAACTACAAAAATAAAAAAAGATCAGAAGAGACTACTGAGAAAGGAACTTTGTCCCCCTTGTTGTCCCGAGAACTCACCTGCCATCCCAGGTCTTGAAAGCTCACATAAAGCTCATGTTTCCTACAGGCTGTTTTCAGTTCACTGCTGTTGTAATCTGTTGGAGAAGATCGAAAGAGGCACCCGTTAACTCATTCATTCCCTCATTGAAGAACTTATGTGGAGAGTTTGCCATGGGCCAGGCACTGTACTAGGCTTGGGATAGCAGTGAACAAAGCCCCTACCAGACATAAATGTAGTCACCAAACAGCTCCGTCAGGTTCCTGATTGCTTGGGTGTTTCACGCACTCTGTCTTGTCCACTCTGGGGTTAGTGCTGGGCACTTAGGCAAATGACACATAATTATTGACTTGAATGGACTCCTTAAGCAACAGACGTTTGTTCTAAGCCCATGTTGTGTGCAAGGCCAATGGCAGGGGTGTGCCAAGACGCCCCAAACACCCTGGGCGCCTGACTTGGAAGACGTCACAGTCACAGTAAAAGATGACTGTATTCGGCAGGTGTTGTTCTGTTTCAAACAGGGATGGTCTTGAAGCTGCACAGGGGCTTTGAAGACAGGTGCTGGGCCAGGAAAGCATCCTGAAAGAAGTGCAACGGAGCAGGGCCTAATCGGGAGGCCCAGCAGTGGGAGAGAGATGGAGATGCTGCAGGAGGGGCCATTCTCTCCTGCACGGTCATTCAGCCTGGCTGCTGGGGTTGAGCCCTGTGATCTGCACTCAAGCAAAGCCTCCTAAGCTAGTAGTGCCCTGTGAGAATCTGCTGAAGTGTATGTGCCTGCTCTGGGCCATTCAGGAGCCACTGGCCTTGCTTAACCTAATCACTGGCAAAAGGAATGGCAGTGCCCAGATTCATTTAGGCCACTTGGAGCAGCTCTTGTGTGACATGCCCTCTGCTAGGCACCATGGGAAGTAGGAAAATAGGTTACGTAAGACTTTCACCCTCCAGGAACTTAGGGAATCAAAGGGGGGTGGTGTGAGACGTGTACACAACTAACTGAAGTACAAAACAGAACATGAATGCTATGGGCAGAGCCATAGGGAAAACTCACTGGGAGTTCAGGGTGGGAGCAAGAGGAAATGAGGGCAGTTCTTTTGGAATGAATTCAAGGACATGTAAAGAGGAGTCAGCTGAGATAAAGTTGGAGATATGGCTTAAATACCAACCAAAATGATTTGGACTTTTTACCA